CAGCTTTAGTACCTAAGTTTAAGCCAAGTGACACTATTCTATTGACAGTCTAGTGAGTCTACATATAGTACGTTACAGTGGTATTACAGCACTGTAATGTCTCAAATTCAATAGATTCCTAGCAGGAAGAAAGAGGCAGAAGACTGTGGGAAGTGGAAGAGGGGGAGAGATAGTGGGAGTATGTTATTGATATGGAATAATCAAATTTGGACATAATTAAGTTGTACGGTATTTCATGCACCCACTTTTCTTTGCTCTATACTTTTTACTTAGTGACTGGATAAAGGAACCACTTAAATGCATTTTGTAGCAATTCATCTTTATTATCCATATGAGGTTCACTTTATGTGTGTACAAGAGATACTCAGAACCACTCTCAAAGTGTTGAGTGAATAGCAATAAGATAACTTAATGATATTCAGTGTTATTGCTTTATTCTAGTAATTATTTTCATGAGGTGCTAGTTGCACTGATACACCCATCATTTCTACTAATACACCCATTCATTCTGAGTATATATTTCTATGCATGGAACAACCCTTCAGTCCAATTCACAGAAAAAGCTTGTTCTTTGTGCACATAAAAGCTACTAAATCTATAGGTCATTGTTCAAGAGAGCCGATTCTTCTTCCTTTATTTTGATATAGCTATTGGTGATTAAAGTACATAGCTACTAAAACTAAAAGTGTACGGCACTTTGACTGTATATATAATAAACAAGATGATTGATGTCTCTCAATGGAGAGCAAGTATTGGACTGTGGAACTACTGTCAAGCTGCCTCCAGTAGACCAGCTAATGGCCACCACTCTCACTCATTCAAAGCTGCAGTAGACAGCAAGTCAGGCAGTACTACATCAGGAGAGAAGACATCTAAACTGCCAGCAGCAGCTCTGTCTCTTATTGCTTTCCTCCTCCTCTTTCACTGTCTCTCTTTATTAAGACACATCTTCATGACTCCTCCAACAGGTAAATAGCAATTGCAACTTTGTACTTGTATATTTAGTAGTATAGATCTATTTTATCATTAGGTAACTGCTACCAAGTACAATGTACTGCTGGTGTTACTGTTACTGATACGAATTACCTCCAGTCAGTAGTCTTAGCTGGAGGCAGCAGTTCTAACCTGATTTACAATGATCTCTATTTGATTGTTTGTCTATGCATGCTCCTCCTCTTATCAGGAGATGTTGAACGCAATCCTGGTCCTATAGCAGGTAAACATGAACAATTGAATAAATTCATTATCTGATACACTATATACATGTATACTGCAGGCAATACTCCTAGTACTATTTTAAGGATGAATTATGCTACTCTTGTTGATGCTATTACTAATAATCTTTACAGAGTAACAAATGGACTATATGCTAAAGGACTGATACCAATGGAAACTGTTAGTCATATTCAAACAGCAAATGCAATATCTGATATTGTTAAATCCGGACAACTAATGTCTGTACTACAAAAACAGCTAGAAGCTTCTTCTACTCCTGAACAGTACCTAACTGAAGTATGCCATATATTAATAAACCAACAACATCGTACACTAACAGATATTGCTACCTCTATATTACACCAGTTAGGTAAGTGTGTCTGTGTACATTATCAGTGATCAATATTCACTATATCTCAATACATTAATAGGTAAATCTAAACTTGTTAATGTTGGTTCACATACTGCACTACCATCACCACTTCATGATGAATCCAAAGCACCAGTTACCAATAGAAGAGGTAAATCTAATAAGATAATTTAATGTGAATTTTTACATGCATGTATTTCAATAA